ATCTACTTCTAGGTCCCATTTCAAATGGGCATATCTCCTTCATCTGGGCTCGATCTTAGGCCATTCTTGAGTCTAAATTGAAGCCCCGGAAGTCTACTTTCCAATGGTGATAGCCTCATATCTAAATTCTAAGTGTGCAAAGAGATATGCCTATTTTAGTAAAGGCTGCTCAATTTTGTCCTAACGGATTGATGTCTAACTCTTCCCCCAACTAGTTTTCTTCCCTCTCCTCTAATTTTCTTCCCTCTCCTCTAATTTTCTTCAACTCCAAACCTCTACATAAGATGTTTTAAAGATTGTTTTTCAAAAATTTTACCTCTCATTTATTTTTTTCCCCTTTATCCTTACTCTGTTTACTGAAAAGTACAGTTTTTAATGAAATGCGAGCCTCGGAACATCGTAGAAACATTTTCAAAAATATTTTGAACGAGAGGGTTTTAAGGTCTAAAATAGTTTTGGTCAAAAATGGTTTTGGTCCAAAAATGGGGTGTAAGTTTGGGATTTAGAAACTCTTCTTGCTGAAGAAATCGAACGTTTACACAGCATAACTTTCATCATCAAGTGATCAATTAGGTGCGCCCAAGTCTTAAGGGCCGTCAAAAATGGGGTGTCTACAGTTGCCCTTCTTTGACAGAGCCTGAAGTCATGAAATGACGTGAGTGAATGTCAAAGCCCGAAGACGACTCATTTTCACAAGGCCGTAAGACTTGGGCAAACAAACAAAATGCAGATGCAGTTGGTTGAACCCGAGGGTTGCGTACGTATCCCATTGCAAGGAATCAAACCAGCATAGTTCAAGGGCAGAATGCAAAATGATACACAATGTAATGAAATAATCAAACCACAAGCAGTACAAAACACATGAATACCATAAAGGAATGGAGGTGCAAATCAAACTACGTTTTATATAGAAAAGAAGTGGGCACGGCTAAACGACGTCTAACACAGGCTAGGTGCCTACATCCTCAATACTGGCCTCAGCGCAACATGGATGCTTACACATAACAAAACCATGTTTCAAAGCGAAAGAGGTGCGAGCACATGCAAAACTATGTTTTTCGTAGAGAGAGAAATAGTACAAATAATTAGATGGTATGATATAAGTAAGGAATGATCTACTGAGGAAAGATAATGATCTTAAATGTTGAATGCAATAAGACAAAGTACAATGCAATGAATGCACTGGATGAAGTGAATAAGGGACGCAAATTGAACTATGTCTTACCTAGAAAAGGCATGGACACAAACCAAACCACGTCTACCACAGAAAAGGTGCCGACACCCTTAATATTGGCCTCAGTGCAACATGGGTACTTACACATGATAGAACCATGTTTCAACGAGGGAAAATTATGAGCACATGTCAAACTAAGCTTAATCATGGAAAGAACAATATGATGCAATGGATGCGATGAGAAATCTAGTAGATAAATGCGATAGATGCTATATGCAATGCGACATAAATAATAGATTATAATGGATATGATGATGCAGCTAGGAAGTGATGCTTTAGAAAGTACCTTACAGGAGTAATCGGCGATGACTCACCTTATGCTGCTGGGGATCTTCCTCTTCTGCATCTTGCACTTCCAAACCACAGGTACTACTTTTCTCCATGACTATGTTCGCAACTTTTCCTATTCTCCAATAGGGTGACAGATTAGGTTGGTTCAGTATCCAAAATTGAGGCGCATACAAGCTACCTCAACCTATGGGGCTGCCATATAGATTTTAAGCCAGAGATACACTCCTGGGTATTTAAACCAGACTTTAGTCTCTGAAATCCCGAACCTTTGCGTTCTAAGCATCGCCATTCGAACTCTAATTTCCACCGTCTCAGTTAGACTCCTAGGAACTCACCGCAAACACAAGCAGGTGGCTATACCAGACCACTCACTACAACAAAATGGTACTTTAATGACAAAATCACTTCGTCTCCAATAGTGAAATTTTCGTCACCAAATTGATCCGTGACGAAATAATTTCGTCACCACGTTCGTCCCCAATTCGTCGTCACTAAAAGTACCCGGTGACGAAAATTTATTTTGTCACCTATTATTGGCATTTGGTGACGAAATATTTCGTCACTAAATGTTAAATATTTTGTCATCTATAATATCCATTTCGTCACCAAAATTAAATAAAATTTTATTATATTTATTTTGGATGACAAAATATTTCGTCATTAAAAATAGTGATAAAGTTTTTAGTAACGAAAATATCGTCACCAAAAGATGAAAAAAAAGACCCTTCAGTGACGAAAACTTTTTGTCAAGAAATATTTTAATTTAGTGATGAAATAGTGAATATGTGTGACAAAATTATTTGTTGGGATTAGAAAGTTTTAGTGTCAATTTTTTTCGTCACCAATAATAAATAATTTTTAAAAATTGAGGGGAGGGTTATATTTGCAATTTATATATTTTTTTCAATAAACAATACCTGTACATTTTAATAATCTATTAAATAAAATATTTAATACAAATCAATATAAAATTAACCTGTTCATTATCATAAAACAACCAAGCAAAATACATGTCTCATAGTATCAAGAAATTAATATATAACATCCAAATTATAACATCTATTTTAGTAAAATCAAAAACTACAACACAATCAAAATAACTTGTGCATTTTAATAACCTGCTGAATATAATATCCATTACAAATCATTACAAAAACCTGTTCATTAGGTAATATCAACAAAAACCTGTTCATTTTAATCTATTCAATAAAATATCAACAAAAAGATAAGATCCATCACAATATAATCATAGCCCACAACAACATAGTCAAAATACATGTTTGGTAATATCAACAAAAAGTACAACTACACTGTGATGGATGTGTCTGGTAATATCAACAAAAAACTCTTGCTATGCAAGCTACCAAATTCGTTCATCTCCAATTTGCCATTTAAAAAATAAAAAATAAAAAAAACAACAACAAAAGGTTAAGATAACTATTCACTAAACATGTTAATATGCAACCTAAAAGAGAAAAAATAAAAATTTTGTTCACGTACACAATTAGACGTAACAGCAACCAACTGTGATATATACATTTTTCAGCATAAGACAAGTCTTACTACAATGGGCACATCACATCGGACATAAAGTTTAAACTACTAAACCAAATTATTCTAAAATATGTATTATAAATGGGGCACTCATGTCACAATTCAGACACCTACTAGTTCATATTACTTATGCCTATCAAGCTTTGAAATATAATTAAACTAAACTGAAAATTTGGGTGTTGAAAATCATAACAACTCTAGCATTGCTAATTAAATAAGGCATGGCTAAACCAGTTGTATTAGAAGCAAACACCACTACCTTTCTTATTTCCATTTTATTTTAATGAACAGTTTCCTACTGGAGTAAAAATGAAATGATTGTTCACAGCAATTACAAAAAGTTCTTCCTCATTGTTCAGATCTGAATACTAACTGATTCTAAACAAAGGCATAAAAAGAAGTAAGCATCATATGAATGGAAAGATGATAGGCAAAAAGGAGAAAAGGAAACATTTCAAGCAATGAAAAGGAGAAAAGGAAACATTTCAAGCAATGAAAAGGAGAAAAGGAAACATTTCAAGCAATGAAAAGGAGAAAAGGAAACATTTCAAGCAATGAAAAGGAGAAAAGGAAACATTTCAAGCAATGAAAAGGAGAAAAGGAAACATTTCAAGCAATGAAAAGGAGAAAAGGAAACATTTCAAGCAATGAAAAGGAGAAAAGGAAACATTTCAAGCAATGAAAAGGAGAAAAGGAAACATTTCAAGCAATGAAAAGGAGAAAAGGAAACATTTCAAGCAATGAAAAGGAGAAAAGGAAACATTTCAAGCAATGAAAAGGAGAAAAGGAAACATTTCGAGTATGAACAAATGTTATGCGCTTGCGCCATTACTTACAGCAGATCAGCGATGGTGAGGAGAGGGTGACGGCGGTGAGCAGAGTGAGCCGATCGGCGATGAATCTGTGTCTGAATCGATGAGGAGAGTGAGCAGCGGCGTGCCTCTGTGTGTGTGTGTGTGTGTGTGTGTGAGAGAGAAATAGGGTTGAACCGATAAATTATTGTGGGTGTTTGAGGCGCCAAAACTTTTTTTTTTCCCCCCTAAATATTTAGTAACTAAATTATTTATTAGTGACAAAATTATTTCTTCACCAAAGATAGAAATATTGGCCACAAAAATCGTTTTGTCACTAAATAATATTAAAATATTAAAAATTATTGGTGACAAAAATATATTCGTCATTAATAATTTTATAATTAGTGACTAATTTTTTCGTCACTAAAAGTCTCAAAAGTTTGGCACCCTCCGAAAATATTAGCGGGAAAATATTTGGTGACAAAAAAAATTATAAATAATGACGAAAAATAATTTCGTCACCTAATTTTTTTATTATGATTTAGATTGGTGACGAAATTTTATTTTTGTCTCCAAAAATGGTACATTTGGAGACGAAATATGATTTTCGTCATTAAAAGATACGTTTATCGTGACAAAAAAAATTTCGTCATTAGTTTTCGTCTCTAAAGACTATTTTTGTTGTAGTGACTGGAAGTCATTCGGGCATGACAAACACCAAAGGAATTGCACCTTTAGAGGATTTAAGGCCTCCTAGATCCAGTGAGTACATAAGACAGTGCAGGCAAGGGTGAATGCACAGGGCAGTGCGATGAAGGCTGTATGCACAAAACAGTGCTAACTGGATGCACAAGACAGCGCGATGCAAGTTTGCATAAGACAGTGTGATATGGGTGAATGCGCAAGATAGCGCAATACAAGTGCACAAGATAGGGCGAGTAAGGGCGCACAAGATAGTGCAATGTAAAGTAAGTGCAAGATAATGCGATACGGGGTGCACATGATAGTGCGATACAAAGGATGTGCAAGATAGCGTGATACAAGAAAATAATTTCTATGAATAGGTCAGCACCTAAGTCATTCCTCCCAGCACCTCACTTTGGTAAGAAATGGAAACTTAAACCAACCTATCTAGAACCACCCTTAATGGGATGTGGATGGGGTGGTAAAAACTGAGCCATGGGCAGAGCAATAGACATTGTCACTGCTCTAGTTATTGAAATAAAATAGAGACCTCGAGGTCTCTGCAAAGGCAGAAACCAAACCCCCAATTCTTTACCCACTCTAGCCATAAGAGCAAAAGCATTTCACAAATCATAATCAGCACACAACCAACCCTGATCATTACTGATTACTCTACCAAGACAATGGTCAAGTATTTAGGATATAGCACCCCGGTCTTTTCCCATTTGATTATTGTATTTGGACTTAGGTTCCGTAGATTCTGTCATTTTATAATTGTTGTTGTTGTCCTTTTTTTTTTTTCATTCGGAATTAGAGGATGTGTTGGGCAGGTGGACAATGCGTTGGGTTTGTATGCCGCGTGTTGGACCACGGCCACGTCTGTCATGTGATGCTGTAAGGACATAATGTTAATTGAGTTAATAAGTAAACAAATGCAAGTTAGACCTTAAATTGAATATAAACAACTTTGCAAACTTACCAACACTACTAGATGCAGTCACCTCATGCACAGGTTGCACATTATGAGGTGGTAAGGGTTGGGTACCAATCTCTTGACGTGGGGGATCCATCCCTTCTTCTGGGGTGGGAGTTAATGGCCTCGAATGAGGCTGTAAACGTAACCCCGGTGGCATCTCTTGTTCCTGAAATAACATAATCGAATAGTAAAGAAGATATTTAACACAGTTAAAATATATTTTAAAAAAGCTATGATGTTTAAGATATATGAAGAAGATATTTAAATAGTAAATGATATGTTCACACACAAATATAAAATAATGTATATAATACCTTGCGATAAAAGGAACCCAATGACTCGTTATCACTATCGTTCTCACTCTCTGACGGATTATACTCATCATCATCATCTACCTCAACCCTAATTTTCTTTTCCTTTGCATTTGCACATTTGGGCTGAACCACACTCATCAAAGAATTTGTAATATTCTTCACTCCAAGATTGTTCATTACCTCATAGTTCTTCTTGATTCGCTTATTTCTTTGTTTCTCATATTCTGTTAGCTTCTTAGTTCTCAAATCACCTGGTTTCAGCCATTGTCTTTTTCCTTTGACCATTTTCTACAACTATATAACATAATTCAACTTTAATTGGAAAATATAGACAATATAATTATTCACCATTAAATAAAAGAAGAAAAACATAATCCCAAACATAATATTTGAATGAAGAATATGGAAGCTATATAAAGTTATGAGCCCCACTCACTTCACAAATCATAATATTTTTGGACACCACCTGAATATGTCCCAAGACTACTAACTTCTTGTATATATGATGTATATTATGTCCTTTGGGTGAGTTATTAGTGCTCTTAAAAACATAAAAAATAACTCTTAAAACTGTTGTTAATGTTATAAAATATATACAAAAATTTGTAAAAATACAAAAATATTTTGATATACATAAAAAGTTTAATAAAATTATAAATTATTTTGACAATTTATATTTTTTATTGATAATTCTTAAAATAATCATTATTAAGACCTTTTCTCTCTATATATACAGTATTGATGTTTAAAGAGAGAGATCCATCATAGCAAGAGGACTAGTGGTGAAGTGGGATATGTTTGGTGGGCAAAGATGTTTGATGGATGGGGTTCAAATATTTTTGAAATGATTGATCTGATATTCCATATGGCTTTAGCTATTACCTCCTTGTTTGTTTCTCATTAATTAAACTCTCTTACACGTTTTGACAACAGTATAACATCAAAGTGTGTCAATTCTAAGTCCCACTGATGGAGATAGTGTGTTAGGTCCATTATTTAGTTGCATTAAAGCCAGCTATGTAATGGAGAGAAGAAAAGAATGACCCAATCACAAAAGTCAAAACTATACCATGCAATTGTGTCACTCTTTAACTACTAGTTCTCTTCAATCTCTTCTATTTTGCATTTGGCCAAGAATATTGTTAAATCCATAGTCTAAAATATGCATGGATTGTTTGTATTTTTATTTATTTTTTTGGTTTTGAAAAAAAGGTATCGTGGAAGAAAATTTGCAGTTGAATTGCTTACATTAAAATTGATAGTACAATTGACACAAAATGTTCACAGAATTGTAAATTCTACAGTATGTGATCATACATCCCTATAAATATTATGATTTTAGTTTATGTACTCTTACACTGTGTTTGGTTGGATGATTTGATGAGGAATTTGGAAAGGGAAAGGAAAAAGTTAGGTGAAATGTGAATAAAATATACGTACATTGAACCTAGTTTCACACACTTTTTCCCTTTCCCTTTCCAAATCCCTCTCCAAATCTTCCAACCAAACAGAGCATTAAGATTTATCCCTCGTCGACATCTTGTTGCAAGTAAGCATATTTTATTTTATTAGCTGAACCATAGTCATAGTGAATCAAGTGAGAAACTCTAAGCCCCTTCCCAAAAAAAAAAAAAAGTCTTCTAAGAAATTCTATAGGACTAATACAATATGTGTTGTAATTGAGCCTGGGTATATTCAAACTTAGTTTGATTAATAAACGAGTTAAAAAATTTGTCTTGAACTAGTTTACTTAATAATAGAACTTAATTCGAATGAACCTTAATGAATTAAAGGTGTACTGTTCTTAAACAATTCAATTTGTTTGTAATTCTACCCATTGAAAAAATGCTTTATTTTAACTTTCGGAAGAAAATATTATATAACCTAATAAATTTTACAATTTTTTTTTTAAAGTTAATTTTTTGTGAATTGCAACAATATCTAAAATAAGACTTGCCACAATAATATTTCCACGTGAATAAATAGGAAAATTTTGTATAGAACAATGCTACGTACCTCGAAATATTGAAGGCGCGAATAAGTTGAACCTTCAAATATTACTTAAATGTTTTATGATCAACTCCTCCGATCAGTTCATCATAGTAGCATAGCATTCATGCACGGGATTTTATTTTTTGAGTAGCAATGAAGGGACATCAATGAACTTCTTGCAACATAACTATGACTAGATTGTATTCATCATAAGTCAGATAGGAACCTTTGATGTTTTGATCATCTTCATTTTAGAACAAGTAGGGATACATTATACAGCCATCTTGTATAAGCCGATGCCATTAAACTTCAGCAAGCATTCTTATGTAAGCAAAAGTTTTGGGCATCAAGTGTTATAAAGACGGTTCAACTTTGTGAGGCAGACACATTTTAGAAATAATTTCTATGAATAGGTCAGCACCTAAGTCATTCCTCCCAGCACCTCACTTTGGTAAGAAATGGAAACAAAACCAACCTGTCTAGAACCACCCTTAATGGGATGTGGATGGGGTGGTAAAACCTGAGCCATGGGCAGAGCAATAGACATTGTCACTGCTTTAGTTATTGAAATAAAATAGAGACCTCGAGGTCTCTGCAAAGGCAGAAACCAAACCCCCAATTCTTTACCCACTCTAGCCATAAGAGCAAAAGCATTTCACAAATCATAATCAGCACACAACCAACCCTGATCATTACTGATTACTCTACCAAGACAATGGTCAAGTATTTAGGACCCTTTCCTTTCTTCCCCATTAAGCTATAATTTCGCACTAGAAAAGAAAACATGCCACATCTTAGAATTTAGGAAGGGCTAGCCATGTATTCAATGATATTGAAGGATTAATCATGTGCTTGATATCTTGGAAAAGGTTTCTTAATTACATGAAATTATACGATATTTCAAATGCATGCTTGGGAGTACCTAAAAAGTACCAATATCCAATGGGCTTTAAAGCATCCCTTAAAAATGGTTCTGTTTATGCACAATGGTAAATTCATGAAAATCATTGATGAAAAGGAGAAAAGGAAACATTTCAAGCAATGAAAAGGAGAAAAGGAAACATTTCAAGCAATGAAAAGGAGAAAAGGAAACATTTCAAGCAATGAAAAGGAGAAAAGGAAACATTTCAAGCAATGAAAAGGAGAAAAGGAAACATTTCAAGCAATGAAAAGGAGAAAAGGAAACATTTCAAGCAATGAAAAGGAGAAAAGGAAACATTTCAAGCAATGAAAAGGAGAAAAGGAAACATTTCGAGTATGAACAAATGTTATGCGCTTGCGCCATTACTTACAGCAGATCAGCGATGGTGAGGAGAGGGTGACGGCGGTGAGCAGAGTGAGCCGATCGGCGATGAATCTGTGTCTGAATCGATGAGGAGAGTGAGCAGCGGCGTCGCCTCTGTGTGTGTGTGTGTGTGAAATAGGTTTGAACCGATAAATCATTGTGGGTGTTTGAGGCGCCAAAACATTTTTTTTCCCCCCTAAATATTTAGTAACTAAATTATTTATTAGTGGCAAAATTATTTCTTTGGTGCCAAAACATTTTTTTCCCCCCTAAATATTTAGTTACTAAATTATTTATTAGTGGCAAAATTATTTCTTTGGTGCCAAAACATTTTTCCCCCCCCCTAAATATTTAGTAACTAAATTATTTATTAGTGGCAAAATTATTTCTTTGGTGCCAAAACATTTTTTTTTCCCCCTAAATATTTAGTAACTAAATTATTTATTAGTGACAAAATTATTTCTTCACCAAAGATAGAAATATTGGCCACAAAAATCGTTTTGTCACTAAATAATATTAAAATATTAAAAATTATTGGTGACAAAAATATATTCGTCATTAATAATTTTATAATTAGTGACTAATTTTTTCGTCACTAAAAGTCTCAAAAGTTTGGCACCCTCCGAAAATATTAGCGGGAAAATACTTGGTGACAAAAAAAATTATAAATAATGACGAAAAATAATTTCGTCACCTAATTTTTTTATTATGATTTAGATTTGTGACGAAATTTTATTTTTGTCTCAAAAAATGATACATTTGGAGACGAAATATGATTTTCGTCATTAAAAGATACGTTTATCGTGACAAAAAAAATTTCGTCATTAGTTTTCGTCTCTAAAGACTATTTTTGTTGTAGTGACTGGAAGTCATTCGGGCATGACAAACACCAAAGGAATTGCACCTTTAGAGGATTTAAGGCCTCCTAGATCCAGTGAGTACATAAGACAGTGCAGGCAAGGGTGAATGCACAGGGCAGTGCGATGAAGGCTGTATGCACAAAACAGTGCTAACTGGATGCACAAGACAGCGCGATGCAAGTTTGCATAAGACAGTGTGATATGGGTGAATGCGCAAGATAGCGCAATACAAGTGCACAAGATAGGGCGAGTAAGGGCGCACAAGATAGTGCAATGTAAAGTAAGTGCAAGATAATGCGATACGGGGTGCACATGATAGTGCGATACAAAGGATGTGCAAGATAGCGTGATACAAGATGCGCAAGATAGTGTGATACAAAGGATGCACAAGATAACGTGATACAAGGGATGCTTAAGATAGCGCAATACAAAGAATGCACAAGATAGCGCGATACAAGGAATGCACAAGATAGTGCGATACAAGGGATACGCAAGATAGCGCGATACAAAGGATGCACAAGATAGCGCGATACGTGGGATGCGCAAGATATCGCGATACAAAGGATACGCAAGATAGCGCGATACGGGGTGCACAGGATAGTGCAATGTATAAGATAGTGCAATACAAAGTGTATGATTATGCGATAGATGCACTGAGTGAGATTATTATGCAATAGATGTATAAAATGATTGTGCGATAGATGCACGATGTAGTATGAGATGATAGGTGATATAAGTAGGTGATGCTCAGAAAATGCAGTAAACCAACAAAGTGGTGCTTTAAAAAGCACCTCATGGGGTGAGTGGTGGCGATAAACCGCTCTACTCTGACGAGGATCTCCCTCTTGTGTTCTTCGAACTCTTACCTTCAACTCACAGTTCAAAGGTCTTCAAATATTGGCAAAAGGTAACATCTGAATGCGAAAACCACATATAGAGCTTTGATCGTTATTCTGACTTGAAGCAAGCTTGAACTTGGGGTCGAGGTACACTCATACTCCAGAGAAATGGCGAGGCCTGAGAAGGTGCACCTGGAATGCAATCTCGAAATTTGCTGAAGTTGAAACACACTAAGATGCTCCAATATTTTTCCCTTTTCTTTTGCTTTGCAGTCCGGAACCCATGTAGCTTCAGATAGGTCCTAGTTCTATTGCTCTCTCTTTTGATCGAGGTTGGACCCTACAGTTTATGAAATAAAGAATTATGTTTTGCACATCATGTTGAGAATAGCACGGCACTCTGAGTGCAAAACGATTTATTTTCTTGAAATTAGAACTGAGAATGAGTTCTTAATCGAGCATTGAGTCTATGACTGACCACAGTACACCACAACTCAACAAAG